TGTCGTGTGTGTGTGTGTGTGTGTGTGTGTGTGTGATACTAGGAAGCAAACCCAGAGCTTCACACATTAAGTACATATCTACCAGTGAACCGTACCCCTAACTGCAGGAAAATGAAAATCACTGGTCTTTTAATTCATATGATATAGCCCCTAATTTTTTGTCAAATAAACACAGATTAAGCCAGAAATTGTGGCCTATGCCTGTAATTCCAGCACACTGGAAGGCTGAGGCAGAAGGATCTGAAGTTTGGGATGCCTGGGCAATTTGGTGACTTAGTAAGACCCTGGATCAAAATTTTTTAAAAATAGTGTGAGGCTTTGTAGCTTAACATGAAGGCCATGCATTCAGTTTCCCTTGAACTACAAACTCACAGCAATCCTCCTTCTTGGCCTCCCATTGTTAGAACTACAAGTGTGCCCCACCATTCCTGGCTCCAAATTGTAGTTTTCTAAAATATGTCACATCTAAAAATGTATTATTTAAACCATTTTTAATTCAGTGGGCATTAAAGACACTCATATTATAAAAGCATCATCATTATCTAGTCCCAGAATATTGCCATCAACTCTCACAAAAATCCTGCACCTCCCTCTGAACACTGGCATTTTTGTCTATTCTGTCTCAATAGATTTGCCTACTTGAGATATTTCTTACAACAAGAATGATAATATTCTTGGGGGGGGGTTGTTTTGGTTTTTTTGTTTTTTTGTCTTTAGAGACAGGATCTTACTACACAGTTCAGGCTGGCTTTGAGTTCAACTTTGTAGCCCAGGCTGTTCTTGAACTTGCAACAGCCTCCCAAGTGCTGGGATTATAGGCATGTACCACCATGCCCGGGCTATTCTTGCTCTTTTGTGTCTGGCTTAGTTCACTTAGCAAATTGACTCTGAGGTTCATCCATGTCACAGCATGTTTCCAAACTTCATTCATTTTTCTGGCTAGTTAATATTCTGCTGTTAAGGATACATCACATTTTACTCATCGATCCATGCACATCTGCACTACTTCCACCATGACTACTGTTGCTAACATGGAGGTGATACCATCTTCCTAGCTGGAGCCTCACGTCCATTACTCCTGGTTCTCTGCAGAGGAATGGAACTAATGGATCCTGTGATAACTCTGTACGTCCTCCCCTAAGGAAGTCCCCAACTTTCTCACAGTGGCTAAAAAAAAAAAAAATTTTTTTTTTTGGTCGTGCTAGGGACTGAACTCAGGGCCTCACACACACTAGGCTGGTACTCTGCCAGTGAGCCACATCCCAGCCCTCGTGTTACATTCTTACATCCACTATATCTTCTTTGTGATGTTCCTGGTTCTCTATATCCTTGCCAATACTTGTTAATAGGGAGTGAGGGGCTTAATTATGCTGAATTACTGCTTAGTAGTACATGTCTGGAATACACACCGGGTAGATACATAATGCAGACACTCACCATGGGGACTTGCTACATACCACATCTCACTCTTTCATTTCTCCTTCCCCTCCCTCCCCCTTACCTTCCATCCCTAGTGTTTTTGTTGGTTTTGATCCCCCTACACAGTCAAATACTTAGGCCTGAATCTAAGGCCTCCACAATGAGCTATAGCCTCAGCACTTATGTACTGACTGACTGATTTTTGTTTGAGTCAGGGTTTCAGTACATAGCCCAAGTTGGCCTCAAACTCAAGGTGATCCTTTTGCCTCAGCCTCCTGAGTGCTGAGATTACAGGTATATGCCATCATACCCGGTTATTTTTTAAATTTTGAAAAATGTTATTAGTATATGTCTGTAGTACATAATGATTACATTCATAGTGGGGAGTTGGTACATGTGCGTAACATCTTGATTCTTTCTCCATTCCCTTCCCCTCTCCTCTTCTCCCTTCCTATTTTCTCAATCTCTTGGTCTTCTTACCATTTGCAAAAGATCTATCTCTCTGTTTCCTAATATCTGTGGTTTTGTTCCTTATTTATACTCTGGCTTTCTAAGTTCAACCAAGCAATATTTAAGCTTTTGTGTCTGATTTATTTCGCTTAACATTATTGTCTAAAGATGCATGCATTTCCTTACACGACTCAAATTTATCCTTCTTTATGGCAGAGCAGTATTCCATTTTATATAAATACACTTTCTTATCTATTCATCGGTTCACAGGAATATAAGCTCTTCCAAGATTTAGCTATTATGAATAACACTGCTATAAACATGGGTATGTATGTATCACTGTAATATGATTATCTCTAACTCTTTTAGAAAGATCCTATGTTGTTATTTTGAACAGGGTCTCAGTAAACCGCCCACATATGACTTGAACTTGGGATCTTTTTGCCTTGGCCTCCCAAGCTTGGGGACTACTGATTTGCACCACAGTAACCAGCTTTATTTGCATTTAATTAATGGCTAATGATTTTGCTGAGTTATTGACTATTTGCTGTATATCTTCTCTAGGAAAATATCTCTGTGCAGTTTTGAACTGAGTAATTTATTTTTAATGCTTTTGATACATAATCAGGACAATGAATACGGAAGAATAAATACTCTAAGGCTGCACAACAAGACAGATACCAACACAACTGTCTTTTCTATGTAATTAAGATACAACACTGCCCAAGTGTGGTGGCACATGCCTGTGATCCCAGCATTCAGGAGGCTGAGGCAAGAGGATTGATCGTTCCAAGTTTGAGAACAGCCTGGGCTACAAAGTAAGCTCAAGGCCAGCCTGAACTGCAGTGAGACTCTGTCTCAAAAGGATAAAATAACATAACATAACATAACATAACATAACATAAAATAAAATAGACAACAGTTGCAAATGTTTTATAAATGTAGCTCCAGCTGCCTACATATCCACATCCAAACATGGCCACAAACATGCCAAAACCAAAAAGAAAACAGTCCCTTAGGGAGCTGGGGATTTAGCTCAGCGGCATAAGCGCCTGCCTTGCAAACAGGCAGTCGTGAGTTCGATCCCTGGTACCGATAAAAACAAAAAAGACCAAAAAAAGAAGACAGTCCCTGTTAGCCCATGGAGTCCTGCACCAACAAACAAACAAACAAAAATCCCTTAAAGGGGCATTAAGCAAGCCCTGGCTCTGGGTCACTGTTCTAAGTCTCAGCCACCCAAACCTCAAGGAGTCACCTGTGAAGTACCACAGGATCTGTCACAGATTCCAATCCCCCAGCTATCCTCTCAGAGAGGGAATGAGAGTATTAAAGGATATAACAGATCTTCAGGGTAGACCTGATTTTCTCTGTTCAGGCTATGTATATTCATTAGGTAAAAATCAGTAAGCTATCTCAAAAGTAGAATTCAAACACAATGTAGTGACACATGCCAGTAAATCTAGCACTCTGGAGGCTGAGGCAGGAGGATCACCATGAGTCCTGAGGTCAGCCTGAACTATATAATAATAGCCTGACTCAAAAAATAAAACCAAACCAAAGTATAATTCAACAAAACTAAAATAAATCTCTGTTTTTTAAGTCAAATGAAGCTTCAGTCATTCAAAGAAGATAGAAAAGTAGACGATATTAGTGGTAAAATGTATTTCAAAGACCTAATGCACAGGGGCTGTGGATTTAGCTCAGCAGCATAAGTGCCTGCCTTGCAAGCAGGCAGTTGTGAGTTCGATCCCCAGTACTGGTAAAAACAAAAAAGACCAAAAAAAAAAAAAAAAAAAAAGACCTAATGCATAGTGTTACTGTTTTGGGTTTTTTTGGTACTAGAAATTGAACTGAGGCCCCTGTACTTGCCATGCAGGCACTATGCCACTGAGCGAAATCCCTGGCCCAACTTTTACTTTTCTTTTTTGGTCTTTTTCCTTTTTATTGGTACCAGGGATCGAACTCACGACTGCCTGCTTGCAAGGCAGGTGCTTATGCCGCTAAGCTAAATCCCCAGCCCCTTTAACTTTTACTTTTTTAAAAATAAAAAATAAGGGCCAGGGATTTAGCTCAGCGGAATAAGTGCCTGCCTGGCAAGCACGAGGTTGTGAGTTCGATCCCTGGTATCAAAAAAAGAAAAGAAAAGAAAACAAACAAACATTTATAAAAAATAAAATAAAATAAAAAAGTTTCAAAAACAAAATTTCCATGTACTTGTCATTCAACTTCCTCTACCCACCAACATCTTACATAACAACAGTACAACTTACAATGATCAAAACCAGAAAGTTAGGCCAGGAGTTTAGTTCAGTAGCATAAGTGCCTGCTTGGCAAACACAAGGTCCTAAATTCAATCCCCGGTACAAAAAAAAATGAAGTTAATATCGACACATTGCTATTAACTAATTCATATACCTGTCCAGGATTTCACATTGTGTTTACTTCTTTTTAAGCTCCTCCTACCTAGGACCATTACTTAGTCTTTCTGTAATGACCTCGACATTCTAATGAGTACTAGATAGTTACTTTCTAGGATGTTTCTAAAATTGTTTTTTTTATGTTACCTCATGATTAGGTTGCAATTCCATATTCTGGGGCAATAATCTTGTATCATCCTCAGTCTAGCATGTAGGAGAGCAGTTGCTTCAACAGCACACATAATAATACATATTACAACAAGATGTATGTATCTTCTTGTTATTCGTGACTTTGTGGTTTTTGTTTTGTTTTGGAGACAGGGTCTTGCTGTGTAATTCAGGCAGGCTTAAAGTCATGGCGATCTTCCTGCTTCTTCTTTACCAATGAGGTCTTTCTGCTGAGAATTTTCCTCAGCTTTACCTATCAATGAATTCAACTTTCAAGTTCTAAAGCCTTGATAATGCGCTTTTAACTTCTTTTTTTTTTTTTAAAGGAATGGAGAGCGCCCGCGGTCACGAACCACCGGAACAATCAGCCCAGGCGGTTGGGAAGCCAGACTCGAAGGAACCGCTGGGCTAAAGCCAGCCCCAATGCTTTTAACTTCTAATTTTTCCTAACAAAATTACTTAACTGACTGAAACAACAAAGACCTAGAATCATGTCATACGGCAGTTACAAGGACAACTGAGCAGAGAGCATGGCCAGCAACTGACCTTTGTATTCAGGGGTGAACTCCTTCATCTCAGGAGGGAGGGACTCGTAGAAGCGCTGCTCTCTGGAAATGAGAGGTTTGCACACAGTATGGTCGTCGTAGCGCATCATGCTGCTGTGTCCGCCCACTTGGTGGATGAAGGGCTCCAGGAGGACTCCTCGGTCTCCTGCCCGGCCCACGTTCTTGCCATACTGCCCCACTTCCATGGTTTGACAAACACACATTGCGTTGGGGGCCAGTTGCACACTGGGGGCACAGGTTGTAGCACATGGGCCACAAAATAAGAGCTAAGTAGAAGGTCCCAGCAACCTGAAGGCAATAGTTACGGTCCACTCAGCTTCTTATTCTGTCCTAAAGAAAAGACAAGAAAAGGGAATCAAAACACCTGCGATGTAGGATCTATGTATTTTACAGCCATTGGGGAGGCAACTATTCCTGTTTACTTCACATTCAAAGAAGAAGGTACCAGAAAAAAAATAGCAACTGAAATCTATTCTGTTCAGGGTCTCCTCCTGACTCAGAGGAAGGGTTTTTGCTGAGAAATCAGGTCATACTTGCCTCCTCAATTATCTGCTAAAGTATCAAAGGGACAAGGTAGGAAAAGATATTTTACAGTAAATTATAAAATCAGAAAAAAATGTTTTTCTTTTCTCAAGATAATCCAGATTTCAGCCTTCTTCCACTTTTCAATAATAATTATGATCATGTTGAGCCCCATGGAACATCCCTTCCTGTCTGTAACTACCAGCAGGGCCGGGAGAAAATCTTTATACTCAAATACCTTCCCTATAATGTCAAATTTCTTTAAAGATAATTAAAACAGCTGCTAACTTCCTTACTAACAAGTTTGTTTTGTTTTGTTTTTTGGTACTGGTGATCGAACTCACGACTGCATGCTTGCAAGGCAGGCGCTTATGCCACTGAGCTAAATCCCCAGCCCCCACAAGTTTCTTTTTAAATCAGGAATGTATGTGACCAGACTATATCTGAAAAATTAAAATCAAGTAAAAATACTTGTAGAGCAGGAATATGATCAAGTCTGTGACAGATAAAACACTGTTTGTGAGACCTCATAATTATAAGCAAATGGGTACAGAAAAACAATAATACAAGTTGGGCATGGTGGCACACTTGGGAAGCTGAGGCAGGAAGATCACAAGTTCAAGGCCAGTGTGGACTAAATAGTGACTTCAAGGCCAAAATGAACCACCAGGGTGCAATCTTGTCTCAAAAAAACAAGAAATAATCCCAACACAAAACCACAAAATCTTAACTCCTAGGCTGGGCATGGTGACATACATGTCTGTAGTCCTAGCTACCTGAGAAGAAGCTAAGGCATGAAAGTTCAAGGCCAATCTGGGCAACACAGTGAGACATCAACCTCAAAACAACAGCAAAGCTACCTGAGCAACAATGCTCTGTTTTCACTGCTGTCACTAAATAAATCTCTATTTCCACTTCTGGTAATAGACTGCAGAGTTATTTGTTTTGATTGTTTGTTTTTCAGACAAGGTCTTACTAGGTTTGCTTGGCTAGTCTTGAACTCACTATATAGGCCAAACTAGCCTTGAACTTGTGATCCTCCTCCCTCAGACTCCAGAATGCTGAGATTATAGGTGTGACCCACTACATCTAGTAGAGTACAATATTTTTATATATGTGTTTTGCCCAATTATTCACTTTTTTAAATTTTTAATTTTGAGACCACTGGCCAAACTGTCCAGGTTGGTCTCAAATTTGTGACACTCTTTCTCCTCAGCCTCTTAAGTAACAGGAGCACTTTGGTGTGCTGGGCCACACCCAGCTAAGCCAGTTATCACTTCCGTCCATTTGGACATGGCAATTCTGTGTCCTAACAGAATTTTCCTAATCTCTATTCTCTCCCAACCTGAGGCTGGTGTATAATTCTATAGCTGCACTGTCATTATTTTCTTGTATATCATCACTACCATATCATTCTTTCTTATCTCAATCCAGGGTTCCAACAGTCGGAGCACATAATAATGTGCTCCAAGAAAAGATCTGCCAGAATTAAATAGGATCATTCCAGGCACAACAATGAGTAAACCACCACGTGGAAACAGAAAATCATGAACACCAATAGGAAGTCGAAAGTGGAGCAGCATTTGTGGAGGGCCTCTAGCCCACTTTGGAACTTGCAGCTGCTGTGATGCCTCTACAAGATCCCACCACAACTATGATCCTTCTACAGCTTATGACTTGAACTCTGTCTCCCAGTGATGCTGGATGTTCCTACTCCTGTCACTGTCAAAGGTACTCGCAGCTTTCATCTGCTCTATGAGCTATTTAGGTACCCGCAGGTCCATGACAGTCACTGTCACTAAGGGTTTGTGATTGCCCTACTATGGCAACAGCTATCATGGGTATTTTTCTGCACAATGTAACGGTATACAGTAAGTACTCAACTTAGGAATATTCAAATTGCAAACTTTCACAGATGTGCTGTATAAAATTCACAGATGTACTATATAAGATTCACTTTGTTAGACTATGAATTATTCTGACTTTTGAGCATTCTCCTGGAATGGAACTTGTTCATTAATTAGGGAACTTAGTGTAACCAAGTATGATACAAACCAGTATAGCAGGAAGCACTTTCTCCCTATCACAACTAACAGTTTTTTTTTGTTTTTTTGTTTTGTTTTGTTTTTTTCCGTTTTTTTGGAGACAGGTCTCACAGTGTAGTTCGGGCTAGCCTTAAACTCACTGTTGTTCAGGTAGGCCTTGAACTCACTGTAATCATCCTGCTTCAGCCTCTGGAGGGCTGGGATTATAAACTTGTACCACTATGTCCAATTGACAACTAAAGACCTGAGCAGTAAGAAGTATCATCAGAACTCACTGGTGAATTCCAGAAGGGCATCATTTTTCCCCAGCACAGATAATATCAATTTGGTTGAAACACCAACTTACCAGATTCCTTTCAGCAGGGGTCCCTAAACCCTGGGCTACAGCCTGTCAGGAACTAGACCACATAGCAAGAGAGGCCACATAGCAAAGGCAAGAGAAGGATGCTTATTTTACATACACAGCCATCTCTTACCACCTGAGCTCCACCTTCTGCCAGACCAGGATTGGCGTTGAATTCTCACAGAAATGCAAGCCATCAGGCTGTGAATAGGCCAGGTGAGGAATCTAGGCTGTGCTCCTTTGAATCATCCTGAAACCAGCCGGCTCCCCACCCCATTCATGGAAAAACTTTTCCATGAAGTCCTTGGTGTGAAAAGGTGGGGGACCATTGCCTTCAGTATATCCAGCAGAGCAATTCAAACTCGCAGTATGAAACATCATAAATGCATCAACTCTAAAGAATAGGGAGACAGTTCTGTCTCCTTAGCAGTATCAAAATTTCCTAATACAAAAGCAAGCCCAGGAGAAGGGAAGGTGCGCAATAACCAAGTCTCTTTGGGTTTCTAGGCCTCTTCAAACTTTCTCATACAAAGAACCCTAACTGTCCAAGAACAGGAGGAGGTGCCTACAGTGAGAAGGGCTATAAACTCTGAGAGAAATTCAAATGGAGGCCATAGTGCCTCCTGGGGCTGTCATCTAAGGACTGTGTGACTATACAAATGACAATCAAGTTCCACTTCTCTGTGTATAACTTCCACTTCTCTAGTTAGCTGTCTTATTCTGCTTTCCTAACAATATTTTCTCCTCTGAGAAGACACTGGACGTCAAGGAAAAAAGGGTAGTGTACTTGAGCTTTACGAAACAGTCATTTTAATTCCCTTGCTCAGATGTGCATAGGACAGACTCAGGCACCACAGGTCTGGAGGACTTTGTGAGAAGCCACCCAATTTCTAAGACTGGCAAAAAGCTGGTATTTATTAAAAATATTTGCAGGACAAAGTGGCCTTCATTTTTCCCAGTCACCTTGATGGTTGTTAACTATGACTGACAAACATTTAAAAGCAAAATGCATCTGCAACTAATTTCTATAGTCTATTCTTTCACCTACAAGTCAGAAATGTTATTTGTGGGGCTGGGGAGCAGCATAAGTGCCTGCCTTGCAAGCACAAGGTCGTGAGTTTGATCCCTGGTACCGATTTAAAAAAAAAAACAGAGTATCTGTTCTCTTTTTCAGATAAGTATTCAATTTCTGTAATGGTAAGCTATTTGATAAAGACATCTTGTTCTTATGAAAAGAATTTTATACTTTTTATATAGAGTAGTCTGTGGCAAGTATGTATTGGATTGAAAATTTTTTACCTTGAAACACTTAAAAATAAATTCTAAGCCTGGGAACGTAGCTCAGTAATAGCGCCCTTGATTAGTATGTATGAAACCCTGGGTTTGATCCCCAGTACTGCAAAAAATAAAATTTCCACTGGTAAAGCCTGATACACGTCAATATATAGTACCAAAACTACTGCTTAATGAACATAATCTTGAAAGAGAAACTGAACCAAAATTATAAAATATTTATACATTAGACCACTGTGTTTGATCACCATGTCTTTTTTAAACCAAGTCTGTTTTTCAGTTGTTCATGTTAGGGTCAGAACTAGGTCCTACAAGAAACAGGAAAAGGAAGTACACAGCTAGATTATGGTTTTTCAAAAGATACTCTGTAAAAGTAAGAGTAAGTTTTGTGACTTGACAAAATCATATTGCAATCGTATGACCCAGTATATAACTTCTACACCCTAAATTACTTTCAATTATTTTATTGTAGAAAGAGCATCTCCACCCCAAGGAAAAGTCCTCAGGCTTCTGGGGTTCTCAGGGACAGCTACATTTTCCTCAGCAATGTCACAACCTCCTGGGGCAGCTATTCCTTATAGATGCGAGCACTAGAGGGGAGGGGTTAAGATGACAATGATGCTCTTCCATTTCAGTGTCTGGTGTTTCCCATTCAGAGCAGAAATCATGTAGTTTGCATGATTTATTCTGATCACTGGAAGTTCATACTAAAATGGCTAAATTTTGTAGCTTAGGGAATGTTTCTCCAGAGAACATAAGAGTGCCACTGCTCTGACTATTAAGTTTATGCATGCTGAGCTACAATAGAATCCTTTTATTTCATTTTACTGTAAAACATTTTGGTTTCACATTTTAAGATAATTACTGCAGCCGGGAATGGTGGCACATGCTATCACTGCATAAAATGGGGAAGAAGGCTAATTATGAAAAGAACTTGCTAAGCTGGATGTGATGGTGAAGGCTTATCATGTGGGAGGCTGAGGCAGGAGTATCACTGAGAATTCAAAGCCAGCCTGGGGTACACAGTGAGTTCATGGCCATCTGAACTATATAGCCCTGTCTCAAAAATCAATAAACAAACAAACAAGCAGAACAAATTTTGAAGCCAAAAGAGAAAAAGCAAGTTT